CATGCATATTCTTAATGTACGTGGCACAATTTAAATATCTTTCCATGTATGACTAAGCACTCACCTTTATGAGTTGGACTATATAGCTTTATAGCTTATGGAAAGAATCATTGTTTATGCTACATAAATATCCTGCATAAATTGACCGTAGCATATTTGGATCCACTAAGTAAATATTTCCTTATCACTTAATGTTAAATATTTTGGAAAGTATCTTGGCATGCATGATCTGTAGCACCTTATTTGAATATCTTACTTATATGATCGTTATGTATTCTCCTTATATGTGATGATATATATATATATATTCATGTGGGATTATCATTGCAATACGTAATATTCTCCATATCTGTTTTGTTATTGAGTGATTTACTCATAGTATGCACGTATCCACTTACTTCCATATATATATGGTTGACCGAGGATCACCATATTTGTGAGCCGGAAGATCTTTGAATAAAAGGAAAGAAGAGGCTACGGATGCTATATATATTGGACTAAAGACCAGACGAAAGAGTGTGCTTGACCAAGCTTCTATTGAGAAATATACACAAGAATATCTACTAAGTCCAAGGCACCTGAACCTGCTCACGGAGTTCCAAACAGAGTTTCCTTTTCCTTTCTTCATATTGTAATTGGGTTTTTGAGGATTGACTAAGTGTAGCATCCTCGGGTCAATTAGTGTGTTGTGAGAGCTTTGTTGTAAAGTTGAGAGGCTCTCTACCCACAAGGTAGAGAAGCATAACTCTTCCTAGAGAGGATAGAGTTGGGGTGGCTCAAGGGTAGACTAGGAGAGTTTCCCTTGTAATCATTCAAAGGCTTTTTAGTGAAGTTGTTCAAATTCCTCCGAGGGAGGTCGAGGTTTTTTAATCCCTTTGAGCCAAGGGATTTTTCCTCGTTAAATCCTTGTGCACTTTATTGTTTCGTAATTCCCTGAACCCCACACTAGAACTGTGCGAAAAACTGCCACGGTTCCACACACACACAATTCACCCCCCCCCCCCCCCCCCCCTCTTGTGTTGCTAACCGTTTCATCAGGAAGTTTCGTGAGCTTGATAAAGATTGCGATTTTAATTCTACGATCTTACATAAGAACGATGGTTGAAATTTGAAGTAGTAAATATTGGTTTCACGATCCACAAAGGCATGGGCGCTGACCCTAAAGGACGCCCTGGAGAAGATCAATCGCTTGACGAGGTTTGAAGCTGGGCTCACGGCAGGTTATCCGATTGTGTCATATCCGGCTGAGCTTTAGACCCTGGTCGGGAGTTTTGCATTGTGTTTCATCTATAAACGTACGATTGAGAGCAGCTTGTCTTTGCTGGTCAATTTGCTTTTGTGTAGTTCGTCTGTGTTGGTCTTTCTTTTATTATAAATGGAGAAAATAGCGGAAAAATACAGAAAGATGTCGATTGAGGAGGAAGAAACAGTGGATTGGCATGATGTTTGAATCCGGAGCTCTGAATGTTAATAACGGGGTGGGAAAGAATCCACATTTCTCTGCTGTTGCTAGAGTTATCACAGATAAGCTTGTCCGTCCTGTCTCCTTATGGGTATGATCTGGCGCCCGAGCAAAGGAGTGAGCATCGAACAAATATGAGATATGCGTTTTATGATTCAGTTCTTTCATGATGAGTACGATATCTCACGAGTTTTGCAAGATGTGCCATGGTCTTTTGATTAGAATCTAGTTGTTATAAGCAGGGTGGAAGCAAAGGACAGACCATTAGAGGTAGAGCTTAATCACATAGAATTTTGGGTGCAGATCCATAACAAACCTCTCAGTTTTATGAATGAGACATTGGCGATTGGTATCAATAGATACTTGGGGAAGCTGGTCCGAATTGATGAAAGAACTCTGAAAGGTAAAAGTAAGGAGTTTGTTCGAATACGTGTGTTAATAGATATAAGAAATGCTCTGAAGAGAAGAACTCAGGTTAGGGAGGAAGGGGATAGCTGGTTTTGGGCATATTTTAAATACGAGAGGCTACCAAATCTTTGCTTTATTTGTGACATTTTGGGACATGTGACAAATTCTGTCCCTCAAATACCAATGAAGGATCATGAGTGGGTGACAAACCCTATGGCCCCTGGATGAACGCAGATCTGCGGCGAGGAGGAGTCCATCGTGGGAAAAAAATGGCTCATTCCGAGACAGGGCATGAGTGGACGAGCACACCAGAAATGGAGGATAATCAGAGTTAGCTGACAGGATGTCACGAGAAGGGTGCCAATGTGGGCTGCTATTAAGTTCAAGGTTTGATCTCAAGAGGAAAAGAGAACGTGGGACTGAAAGAAGAGCCAACGCAGGATAGAGCTCTAGAGGAAGGTGAACCTAGGAAGCGAAGAGCAGTGAATTTGGAGAACTTGATGGAAGTTCAAGTTAATATGGAAGTAGATGGAACTTGTCCAAAAACGATACTGCGGTGGTGCTACTGAATCAACATCGTCTGGAATTGCATTAGTTGGTGCCAATGGGAGTCTTCCTTTGGAGGTGGCTAGACAAACCTCTTCTCCCTTTCCGATGGATGGTCAAATTAGAATGATGTCTTTGAAGTGGTGGATCAAACCTCTTCTCGCTTGCTGGTTGCTTGTAAAACCAGGATTTATGTTACTATTGTCTCTTTTCAGATTTCGAACTCTTGCCTTTTACTACCTCCGTCCCAAAATGAACTTCTCATTTCAGATTACGATGCTTGACCGACGATAACGCAACTCGATCCCTGTTCATACTCAGATTACTTTTAGTAAATGAAATTTACATATTGAGAAACTACATTAAAACCGCTACAAAGGCTGATAAAAAAAATTATAAATTTGATAAAAATTTGATATATAAAACATTAGATTAAGAGTAATTTAAGTTGACCATATGAATAGTAACTGTGAAGTTCATTTTGGGACGGAGGGAGTATCTTTCTGTCTTAGTAGCAAGTGCAACAATGCTGATATAATAACCTACCATCTTGTGGAGTTAGCGATCTGTCCCGATCTTCAAAGACTAGCTAGTTCTATGTCTCACTTCGAAGTTGCTCTGAACTATTGCTCTACTTTGTCCATTGTTACTTTTAATGTCAGTAATAAATGAATGTCTTTCTTTAAAAAAAATATTGATTTCACATCCAAAATCACGAAGAAGAATGACGGACTATACTTTTGGATATGGTAAACATAAGTCCCACCATGGCAAAAATAAACTAAGATAAAAGGATAGTGGTTGCCGTATATCAGTAGCGTGCCTTTATCGTAAAATTGAGTGTTATTGTTATTCTTTTGGTTATTATTTGATTTTTTATATACATGAAGAATGATTTTATTTTTAAATTTGATTTGATGTATAACTTTGTGCAAGTTATTTTCATCTTTTCATTAGAATGCACCAGTTTGACCGCTAGCTACACCGGGTTTATTCCTTATCCGATTCTTATACAATTAGTAATGTGATTATTGTTATGTTAAATAGGATCCAAGTAATAATTGACAAATCCAATATCTAACCAACAATTATAAGTTGCCTATTCCTAACAAAAATTAATATGGTTAACTTCAGCATTATGAGTCACTCACTTATCCGGCCTGTGGTAATTAATCCGAATATCTAAACATAAGAGAGTTTAATCCGAATATCTAATCATATACAGTATCTTAAACCAATCCAAGGATCATTTTAGGAATATTACTGTAGAGAACTAGAGGTTAATGACATGCAATATAAGATCGATGGATGTTTTACTTGAACTGTTTTTTGTCCCAGACCATATTAGACCAGACCACAAATTACGATCAAGTAAAAACATCCTATATACTCCGTATTAAATTTCAACTTGCATAAATACACAAAGGACTCGATCTTTCACTTTTTCACACCATCTTGAAGGAAAAGGGCAATTACCGAAGATGTCAACATCACTTTATCAAATCGTGCAAAATTAAAGGGAAAGGAAAATGTATTCGTGTTTGGGCTCATTTTCAGAGATAGGGTCATGTGTTTCATTCTTTATCAAAGTAGTTCATGTATTTTAAAAACGTCTGAAAAAGACCGTTAAAGGTAACTCTGATTTTCAAAAGTGCCCGAAAAATTAAAAGAAAAATACCGAAAGATGCACCTTGTCAAGATGACCTCCAAATCACCTTCTCCTTTGGATTTTACAGATCTGTTTGAATTGTTTTTTAAAAATGATTTCCCTAATATCACTTTTCCAATGGACTTTCCGGTGACAAGGATGGCTGAAAACAAAAAAGAAAGATGGCCTAGCGGTTGTCTTATTGAGGCGCTTCTTCGAGTATTTTTCTTCTAATTTTTTGGGCACTTTTGAAAATCGGAATTACTTTTAACGTACTTTTTCAGACGTTTTTAACGGCGTGACCCTCTTGTGTTATTGAACCACTTTGATAAAAAAACTACTCAATCCATCCCGTAAAAAAGTTCCTAGTTTGACATACACATATTTATAAAGAAGTTCCTAGTTTGACCTACACATATTTATATAAGGTAGAATTTTGTTTTGACTTTCGAAACATACCTTATGTTATGTCAAATCAAACAAAAAGTGAATAAAAAGTAGGAGAAATTATGACTTTTTGATTAAAAATGATTTCCTTGAATCGTATAAAACTCTAAAAAAAAGTATTTCCTTTTTACCCAAGCTCTGAATGTAATTTTAATCTGAAATGCATCTTAGGATGGCCAAATGCAATCCAACAGAGACATTGCTTATGAAAGTGAAACATAACAAATGAGAAGATGTATAGAAGGATCATCATTTTCCCATACAATCTCTCACTATTCCATTTTTTACCCAAAACCTTAACTTACTTTTGTCAAATTGTTCTCCTATTCATGATACACTTTATATGCTGAAATCCATTCATTGCAAAGTTCTTGAGAATGAGGGCTTAAACTAATTTAGCAAAAGTTACAACAAACCAATATATTCAATATTAAAGTCACTTGTTCAATGTTAGTTGAATTTCATCCCAAACCCAAAGTGCAAAAGGAATGCATATATGAAGGAGAACAGTTGAATTGAACACATTATATTTATTTATTACAACTACCAGAATTGGCCATTTATATATTATTGGTCGGTACATAGATAAATGATAAATGGTATATATAGCCACTACTGCATGTTGACGGTCTCGACCCCACCATCAAACCCAATTTAGCTACATATGATGATAACCTACATAAAACACCGACCACTCGGTCAAACACTGATGGATGGATGGATGGATGATAGATAGATGATGCATGGCCAATTCTTGCTACCTATTATATTACTATGCCATATATATCTATATGTATATGTATGGCTTTATACTAGCTTTTATATATATATATATATATAGCATATTATTCAGATCCACTCCATTCTGTTCTTCTTTCAAGCACTGTCCTGGACAGTGCCCTTGATCTGCTGCTGCGCCTTGTTCCCGAGCTGCTCCGCCTTCTCTTTGATTCCGTACGCCGCATTCGCCAGCTTGTCCTTCGCATAGTCGATCTTGTCCGCTCCGATCGGGTGCTTCCCTGTTATGTACCTGCATTACAGGTTAATTAAGCTGGCGAATGGCGATCAACCACATAGGAGAAGTAGTTCAAAATCTTATATCTTTATGTTTGACCAGTAATCGGTCGAAGCTTAAAATTTAAGATCAATTGGCTCTAATATAACTAGGAGGTTATCAGATTTGTAATAGAAAGAGAAAATCAAGGTCTTCTTGATTAGAAAGTTGTTACCTATAGCTCCAGTAGAAGATGAAAGAGGAAGTAGCACCGAAAGCACCGGAGGCGAGGAAGCCGGTGAGGATCAAGAGAGCGGCGAGGAGAGCGGGGAGGAGAACGGGGCTGAAGATGACGAGGAGCGGGGTGGCGATGACGAGGCCGACGATGGTGGCGACGAGGGTGAGGCCGGAGAGGAGCATGAGAGAGCCACCCACGGTGGCTGCGGTGGCGGTCTTGGCCACCTGGTAGGAGAGCTTGGGCTGGTCATTGCGGGATTGGGGAGTTGCCATTTATGGTGTAGCTAGCTAGTTAAGCTTTGGGGAGATGGATATGAAGGCAGGATGGGATGGGGGTTGTGTTTGAAGTGAAGGAGGAAGAAGGAGGAGGGGCTGTATTTAAAGGGGGGAGGGGGGGAGAAGGGCGGCACGTGACAGATGAAGGGAGCGTTCACGTGTTAGACGCTTGAAGTTGCATGCAAGTGAAGGCCTGCTCTGCTCGACACCGCATCACTTCTTTTCGGTGTGAGATGCATATTATTATATACATACAGAATTCATAAAGATGGCGACGTCCGCGAGGATATCGTTTCCCCCTCCTTCCTTCTTCTCACCCATTTCATTTGTATCTCTTTCACAAAATTTGACCAACTTTGACTTTTTCACCTAGAGGCTAGATCATCTTCATCTCTCAGGCAAAGTATAATAAACTTAAAATTATGATATATTTTTATTTTTGACAGATTCACTATAACACTGGAAAGAATAAGGTCACAGAGTCAAAGTTCATTTCAAGCAAGTAAAGAAAAATTGTATGGTTTTCAATGGTATGTAGAAACGAAGAATAACTTTACAACCGCGCTAGTCGTACACACTCGATTACAGGTCCGAGTGTAATTGTTTCTGCACAGACACTTGATTTTAATTTTAGGAAAAGAAAATATCTGTGACTCCCAAAAAAAGAATTGTCTATTTACAGACCATTCCGAATCAAAGAGACTTCCAATTACTCAAATTAAAATTAATTGTCTGTGCACAGACAATAAAACTAGGGCATGTACAAGTAGCATTTTTCATAACTTTAACCACATATTTCTTATTCAAACCGAATTGACACACTCTTTAAATAGAGAATCTATTTAAATTCTCTATGAATATGACTGATCCGTATATTCTCACAAGGTCTGATATTATGTCTATTCTCAATGTTATTCAAGTTTGATGTGATTTAATCTACTTAAATCTATTTTTGTTAAGGTGATAAGATTCGAAACTGAAATCTATTCAATTCAATTGAAATCAAATTAGGTGGTTTTGAATTAGATTGAGCACACAAATAAATTTGAAAGACAAATTTTGTGGTACTCTAAGAGCAACATAACACTTGTTCATATGAAGTATACAATTTGATAGTTCCACACTTCCACCACATATAAACAAATCTCGATCAATCAAATAACATTATATTATAGATAATTAAAGTACTCTGATTAATAGCAGTATATCATAACATTCGTGATTTCAAAGATTAGAAGTTCATCATATCATTTTATTAATGTTATTCATGATTTCAAAGATTAGAAGTACAATTTTTAATTTATACGGAGTAGTATACATGTTCTCTTACCACTTACGTATAAAGTAGTAAATTACTCCTTATAATACTCCGTAATAACGTATGCATAACTGTGGACCCATAAAGATGCCTACGCACTAATATTGCCCATGGAAACTATCAAAAATGCTATATCTCATATAAAAACCCTCTCCCACTTTTACCTCACTCCCTTCCCCATATCAAAATTTTACCCCAGCTCTTCTCTTCCTTCCAAAACTCCCGCCCCATACTTCCTGCTTACTCTCTTCTACTTTGAACCACCCCACCCAAAAACGAACAGCTCAGAATCGAGTATCGTCGGGACAACACCGGCCAACACCTCCTCTCGTCTCACCCTCCCCTCTTTCGCTTTTTTTCGTTTCGAACGGAGAGCTACAGTGCTACGACGAAAGGAGGTCATCCTTGGGACACCATTTGCAAGCCTCTTCAATGGAGTTGAGCTACAGGCCCCTACAACACGCCTCTTCCTTCACTGTCACTCCTGTCTACACATTTCCCTCTCAGTATGCCTCTTTCTCCCTTTTTCATCTTTCTTCATTTTTTTATTATTTAATTTTTATTTCATGTGTAATACTCTGTATATCTAGTAATGTTGAATGGTTGAATATTTTGTGTTATTTTGATGGATTTGTGATGTTTATTCTTAAAATTTTAGTCTAATTGAAGGTTTTTGTTAAAAGTTCTCTAAGGCCTGTCAGATAGATTTGTGATGTTTATCCTTTTATCCCAAAGTAAAATAGAGAGCGTCTAGCGGTCTTACGAACCAATCACACCAAAAATAAATGTTTGTACTATTCCCTAACTGGGTAAAATGTCCTTAGATACCAACATGCCTGCCCATCTATCAGGAAACATGTGTGCTTATATTAACATTCAGATAACCTTATTGTTCTTCTAGCTTGCAGGAGCCTTTTTCATGGGTTCACATATATAGACATGCTTTTCAATTTCATCTTTTCATCTTTCACACTGCTCACCTCTTGCTTCTATTTTGATGCAACATGAAGGAGCATGATAACTTAGGAAGATTATGTGAGACTGATATGTAAGTTTTTCATCTTATCAATTTACATAACCTACGAGGCTATATAATCACTAATATTGATACATTTGGTATTAGTAATAATAGAGTTTAATAGTTTTAATTCTCTAGCATATATGCATGTAAAGCCACACTTCTTCACTCTATATGGTAAATTTATTCACTTCCATATTGTCTTTCGCTTGTTGCAGGTTCACAGGGCCCTTGCACAGGGAGCAACATTTCATATGTGATAATATCCATTTCTTCTTTCACCATATGCTTTATTTCATCCCATATGAATAACCACTCACTATCCTAATGTCATGGGAAGCTATGGTATTCATTTTGATATTATTGAGTGTATGTTAATAGTAAATGCTTATTGTTAGTTGCTTTGATATTTTAACCTGTTATTGAACTAACAATGAGGGAATGTGTAGGTAGCTTTGAGAGAATCAAGCATCACTGAAGCGGTTATTACTTAGCTTGCAGCAGCTTTTGAGGATCCAGTAAAACAAAGATTTCCTCTTATCAGCAGAGAAGTTGGTAGTTCTTGAGTGTTTGTGAAAATTCCTAAAAGAAGCTTTAATTTGAAATGATGAAAATTCCTAAAAATTGAATTAATGAAACTTTTGAGGAATGATTCCAATAGTTGTGATAATAACAATGAGGAGGTAACCTAGCAACTTCACATGGTATTTTGTCCAGTTGGAAACATTTTCCAATGTAAACAGTCCTCAGTGAGGATAATCTTTAATTTTATACCTTACTTATGAAATTATTACTTCCAGGTGCTTTACAATTAAGATGCAGTTTTAAGCTGCAATGTGGGTTCCTTTGTTTTGTTAATTATTAATTAACCTTAATTTTATACTATGTAAGATTTCGTTTTTGGGGCCAATCACAATATCATAAATCTTCATTTAAAATTTTCTTTAATGTTCTTAGGTCAAGGGAACCTCCTACATGTGTGCTCGGTGTACCCAATCACGTGACATATTGATACTTCTTTCAATTTTTGGCTAATTTGTGCATTAATATTCATATATTGGTTTTAAGAGAAGTGTTGGCCATTGGTTTCCATTATTGACTCCTAATTTGTATAAGAGTGCAGGAAGTTAAGAAGTATTGTCGAGTATAGGTTTTGAGGCTTACCTAATATTGCTTGTTATCTTTAGGATTTCTAATAAACCTTAGTCAGAGTCACATCCTAATCAATATTCATATTTTCTGGAATGCAAGGTGATAGACTGGTATAACTCATATTTTGTGGAGTGCAGAACAATTGTGAGGTAACCTCTGACTTGCTATTGTTCCCAGCCTTTTGGGGAGAAGCTATCATTGCTGTAGTTGACATTGTCAACCTCACACCATAAATTCCTTTGGAAGGTGACATCCCAGAGGAAGTTCGGACAGGTAAAAGAGCTTCATACAATCATCTCATGGTGTTTGGGTGCAGAGCATTTGTTCACATCCCTAAAGATGAGCGCGCTAAGCTTGACGCAAAGATGAAGGAGTGTATATACCTTCGCTCACCCAAGGACGAATTTGGCCACCAATTATGGGATTCAATCAACAAGAAGGTTGTTCGTAGCAGAGATGTCATCTTCTTTGAAGACTAAACGATCGAAGATATTAAAAACTCAGAGAAGCCAAGACTGAGAAGCAACAAGAGTACCGAAATTAATCCAGTTCGACGTGAGGACGGAACGCCTCAAGACAATAATGTTGAAGACCATGAGTCTGTGTTAGAGCAAAGCAACCAGGAGACTCATGATGATCCAGCTTAGGAAGGTCATCAATCTAGTCCTCTGCCAGCACTAGAGCTGAGGCGATCCTCAAGAGAGAGAATACCATCCATTCGGTAGAACATCGAGGAGTACGTTATGCTCACAGATGATGGGGAGCCACAAAGTTATAAAGAAGCAATTAATGATATTCATAAAGAAGAGTGGAGAAAAGTCATGCAAGAAGAGATGCAACCCTTGCATGAGAATCACATTTGTGAACTTGTGGAGCTACCCAAAGTAGGGGTGGGCACGAGATGGAATAGGACGGGAATTAGACTATTCCGGTCCCAAACCCGATTTAGGATAACGGGACAAAACGTTATCCCGCTATTGTCCCTTTTAAATCGGTACCGGAACAGAACGGGACGGTTCGGGACATCCCAAAAAATTGCAGCGAAAAAAATACAGCTCCAAAAAGAAACTTCATGACAAAATCTACAACACTAAAAATGCAACACATACAAAAAATTACTATAAATGCAACACAAAATATAGTAGATTAATAGGATAGTTGCACGAAACAAATCGTAATAACAACAATAACTCCAACACACACAATACTACTAAGAAACTACAAAAATAAATAAAAAGACAAACAATATTATTAGAAGTGAAACATGTGAAGTATACGTGAGTTTCTTTTTAGTATGTAGAAGATAATTCATACTTGATATAATATAGACTCCTTTAGGTGTTTTACATATTAGATAACGTAACTAATACCTAATTAATATTCATTAGTATTTGAAATGATGGTAGACTCACTAACCCACAACTATATACAATTTTGAATTCGGAACAACGCGACGGAACGAGACATATTTTATTTGTCCCGGTCCCATTTTGTTTTGAAACGATTCGGGACTGAAACGGGACAAAAATAGTTTGTCCCGAATTTAACGGGACAATTTCGGAACGGACCAACGGGACCGGGTCTTTTGCCCACCCCTAACCAAAAGGGGGAAGAGCCCTGAAGAATAAGTGGATGTATCAAATCGAGACTGAAGATAGCATCTTAAAGCCTTGCTATAATGCTCGCTTGGTCATCAAAGGACTTAGACAAGGAAAAGGTATTCACATTGAAGAGATATTCTCTCCCATGGTTAAGATATTGCTAAGAAGTTCTCGAGGAAATCAAATTGCATCTTGGCAAGGTTCACACGGACGAGAACTGGTCAGATATGATGATCAAGGTAATATCGACAAAGAAGTTCGAAGATTGCTGTCAAGGTGCAAGGTTTCTACTACCCCCCAATTTAGTCCGGAGGGGGAGATTTGTTGAGATCCCTTCTTAATTGGAGAAATTCTAGAGCTTTCTAGAGAAGTATCAAATTTTCTAGAAAGTTTTGGAGAATCCTGGAGAAGTTTAGAACTCTCTAGAAGCTTATGGAAGAGTGTAGATCCTCTCAAATATTTTGGAGATGTGTGGAACCTTCCGGAATCTTATGGAAGATTATGGAAGCACATGGAAGGGAATGGAGAGGTGTAGAGATTCATTGGAGTTCTCTAGAATATGTAGGCACGTGTAGAGCATTCTAGAGAACTACTCTCCACCATTCATTATGGAGGTGGAGTAGTATAAATACGAGTAGGAGCCTCCATTCTTAACCATCATAGCAAGAGAGAAGCCACTTTTTAAAGTGAGAAAGCATGAGAGTTAGATAGCCTCTTTGAAAGAGAAAAGAGTGAGACAATTTTGTAACATCCTTGTAAATCCTACTATTCTTTTGTATAGTAGAAGAACTTCCCTATTGGAGAATTTAAATTGTGTGCTCTCATTACTACCTTAATTCCTAAGTGCCTATCTTAACATCACGAAGCGGGAAAGTCTGAATTTTTTTCAACAGATACTCTGTATCATGTACCTCGAGTATAGCATTTATGTAGGCTTCTAATTCATTTTGTGGGGTATATCAACTAAGCACGAAGTAAAATTAAAGTTTAAGTTTAAATTGAGTTACGTTACAAATGGCTTAACTCATGTAATCTAGATAGAGGAGATTTCCTTTCAGGAAAAAGATAAGGGAAATTTGGAGTTAGACTATTAAGGATGTATTTTCTTAAGAAGATACTTTCAACTTTTAAATTAGAAAAATTCGTATCAACGTTTACGTACAGATAGATGTCTATACTGAAATTAAACGTTTTAGAGTTAAGAGTTGGAAACTTGCAAATTGTTTTACCTTTTCTATTACACAAAATGCACTTTTTAATCAAAACTATTACTGTTCACAATCATTATTCTTGAGTATCGAGAATTTAATTTTGTATCGAATCATAACAAGTTGATCATTTTACTGTCAATACTTTAAGACTTTATATATATATATATATATATATATATATATATATATATATATATATATATATATACATACATACATATATATATATATATATATATATATATATATATACATACATATATATATATATACATATATATATATATATACATACATATATATATATATATACATATATATATATATATACATATATATATAATTCAATTAATTATCGATGATTTCCATGACGTTCAAGATAGAACTTCTAAATATCAATTGACATGCTATTAGATAATGTTTTTCAATTTTTTTGATGAATATGAATACATAATTTGATATTAACATTACATTTTATATTACTCTTTGTACTTTATCTCGGCCCCTTCTCTTTCTATTACTTGCTCCTGCCTCTAGTTATTGGTGCAGTAATTGTATGAAATAGTGATTCAATAGAGGTGATATAGAAATTGGGGGCATAAATTCACCATAAATCAAAATTTTATATTACTTATTATTGCTCCGAATGTAGCATTAGCATAAATTCACCATAAATCAAAATTTTACATAAAAATACGGAGGAATAATCCCCATATTCCAAGGTATATAATGGATCACTACCAATATAATATCAATTATCAAATATTACAAAACATGGTCCAATACAATAAAAATTCTAATCTCATAATACAATCTTTATGTATAAAAGAGTACATTAAATTATCAAAATACATATTCTCCTGAACTTCAGCAATATCATCCATTCATCATAAACATTTCATCTCTTAGGGAGCTCTTATAAACCTGAAATATTTTTCAACTCCAATTAGTGCATGCTCACTTACTTTTAACAAATAAACATTAAATTAATAATGATATAGTAACTTTATTGTAAATAATTACTATAATAACAAGATGTAGCTCCGAACTGTTTAATGGGATTTCTAATTCCACTTTTCCTATTTGTTGAAACACCCCTGCCAAGTATGGATGTTTTTGTACCATTATATGGATGTTTTAATTACTATTATAAATCACTACCTTTGAAACACCCCTACCAAGTATGGATTTTTTTTACCATTATTAGTCCTTCCAAAAACTTATTGGCTGACTCCCATAGAATTTTCAAAGTAACTATTAGAGCTATGTAGGGAACGTTTTCTACATTCTTGCATTATTGATTTTTTTTATTTCTAAAAGTAAAATTTCGTTGTGTAAAAGCTCAACACTTCAACCTTCATCGCAAGGTAATGTTCTTCATTGCTAGTGTTAACATGATAGTTGTGATTAAATTGGAAAATGGACATACATCGTGGACATACATATGGAAACTTATGAGCTCACAATATTGAGTTACCTTAGAAGTTGATAGCATTTTGTGGCAAAAAAGTCTTGGTCTTTGTCAGCCATAAATATTAGAAGTTAGAAGATCTTAGAGCTCCATAAATGAAACAAGAAACATCAAAGAAACTAAATAGGTATACATTAGCAGATGTAATAACACAATTAAAGGGTTAATTGTGTTATTATGCGATTAACATTACTCACCAACTTCTTATTAACATAAACATCAACACTATTTTGATAAATTCATAGAAATAGAATACTAAACTATCATAAATTAAAAAAACATTAAAATAAACTAACTGAAATGATAAAAATTAAGATATATACCTCTAATGTATTGGTGTAGTGAAGAGTAGGCAGGACACGGAGGAGAGGGCGGCGAGTTGGTGTAGCAAAGACTCCACGTGTGGCAGTGGCGGAAGATTGCTACTTTGATTGGGTGGAGCGGTGGCAGTAGAGTGCAGAATATGCCTGGACATCAATAAGGTTAGGTGACATAGAGCATGAAAGTGAAATTAAGAAGGAAAAGAGATGAATGGTGCAATTGCAAATATAGGAGGACAAGAGAATACTAGCAATGAATTTAGCAATAGGTAAAAGTATAAAAGGAGAATACCTTTTATTTGAATCAAACCTGGAAAAACCTTTTTTGCATCTTCAATGTACAAAAACAACACGTTCGCATAATTTTATAGACAACAGACCTTACTCCTACTTGCACCTACTAATCCAACTGGTCAAATATGCCTATTGATGCCTATTGAGCTAAACAAGTAGCTGAAAACAAACTTAACAGTAAAGCCATAAACAAACAGAGAAATGATTAAAAGAAAACAATTCTCCTGTGAATACCTAGATAAGATGTTTTTAACTTAATTTCAATGGATAAAATCTCAAAGAATGATTCAAGTCTTGATCAATCTTGATGCAATTAACGAAGGATACATAGCAACTTAGGTTATCACACATGTGCAAAATGCAGGGCACAAACAGAAGGAAATTCCAAAATTACCACATAACCAAGTCCGTTGAGATATCGTGACAGAAGGTGGCCAGGTGGGACGGTTGGAGGAGCGTGGACGCGGAGTTGCGAAGCGCTGCGAGGTGTAAGAGTGAGGAGGCGAGGTTCCGAGGCTGAGGAGGTGCGACCTAGGGTGTGTGAGCCTAAGGCGTGAGGCAGCAGGGTTGCGAGGACGATGCGGTGTGATGCGGCAGGTTGATTGGCTGACACAGTTGCAAGGCGGCGGGCTTGGTTGGTCGATCAAGGCGGTTGTGAGGTTGCGGCGCCGGATCGTAGGTCTGAATTCGGAACTGTGGTAGGAAGAAGCTATGAGGGCATGTTTTTGGGCGTCCAACTATTAGAAAAGAAAAAAGTTGCTGGGGTTCCATTTGCACCCGCATCAATAACTTGAAACATTGAGGTTATTCGATGCGGCTCAGGGAACGACCGCAGCATTTAAGATTTAAAATTAATTTTAAAATAGAAATTAATTCTTATTTGATGCACATGGATGAGAACCGCATCAAATACGTAGCAGCAAATCTATATATATATCTATATTAATTCACTTAAGTCTCTTTCCGGCTCATTACTTGAGGACATTTGCGTAAATTCTGATACCTGGCTATTCTTCTGGAAAGAGGCTCGCCGATCTTTCTGAGCGAGGGAATTTAGGGCTATCTCACAAATCCTCCAACACAAGACTTCTCCCTGAAGTTGGAGTCTTCATTGCAGCTCTCTTATCTTCCAAGAAATTCAGATTTATCCGACTTCAACTCCAGAGAGTCCATCAACACCAGACTTCTATATATCGGTAACTATTATCTCTCAAGTCTAACCTTATATATCTATCTATCTATCACACCCTTCGAAAAAATTATCTCCATTTTCGCTCATACCTAGTGACTCTCCAATGGTTCTGAATTCCCCCTTCAAAGTCCTTTTGAAGGATGTTACTACGCAACTGGACGACAAGGGTGTGTTGTTGGTGAGAGTCGTACATATGTGGATTGTTCTTGACAGGGGAAATTCCTCCGAACCCTACATGATTGACATGGTTCTCATTGATGAGGAGGTAAAATTCTTATTAATTACTCATTTTTTAGTGTACTTTTACATTTGCTTTGGTGCTTTGTTCCGATTTCTGCAACTGCCACTGCCTGTTGTATTCCATTTTATATATTATGTCAAAAAACCCTATGTTGTAAGATTTCTTTGGATTGGTTAAACGGAGGCTGTTTAAAGGGCAACGCCCTTAAGGTGTTTGATAAAATGCAGCAATGAAGATTTTGATCAATTTTTAGATATTTATTTCCTTTTGATTTTGTTGATTGAATCATTGAAATACTTTGATATTTATTCTTTCTGAAATATGGTTTAGGACTTGAAAGTTATGAATAAATAATGAGTGTTAGTAAGAGACATCTATCAAACCTTTTGTTTTTGCAAATATCATCTCTAAATATTAGATTATTTTTAATATTTATGGAGCGTTGGAACATATCAAATGTGGAGTTGTTTATTTTATTTCATAGATGCTTTTAGCCACCCTTCACTTGATACTACATGGCAGTAGCCATCAGTTTGAAATTGCAAATATTTTAATGAAAGTTTGTTAAGTATTTTGATAATTTTTCACTTATAGCATTGTTTAGTATTTCATTTGGATGTCTTCTCTTATCAATATGATGAGTTTAGAATGCATTACATTGTTTCTTTTAAATTTGAAGTCTGATCTTTACGTCTATACTATTTCTGATATTAGAATGCAGAAATGAAGTTTTTATTCTTTTTTAGCTACTTATTTCCTGTTGATTTTCTTGAATGAAATACTTTGATATTTATTCTTTCAGAAATATGGTTTAGGGCGTAAAACTTATGAATAAATAATGAGTGTTTCTAAGATCCAGAACATATATATGATGACTTCATCTCATTTTCTTTTTATGCAGGGAATTTTGCTTTGTTTTAAATTAGTTATTGTTGTGATAATTTTGCTTACCCTTACCTTCATCAATTCTTCCAAACGTTATAAATAAATATACCTGTATATAGATAGTGCATTGAAGTTGCTCAGTTCAGAAAACTATGTTCAACTGTTCAGGTCATGAAAGAGCAATTACAAAACATGATGTAATTTCTGGAGTGGTATTGATAAGATATGTTTACACACAATCTGAGTATTGAGAACAAATCTTCATTCTTATAGCAACGATAACTACTAAATAAGTTCTTTTTTACCTTGCACTGTTGATGATATATCCACCCATCTCTAAGTTCAATCTCCATCATTTTAACAACTACCAGAAACCGAAAAATACGTTAGAGCCTTTTGAAATGTTAGTCATAATATTCCGGAATGCTAGAATAAAGGTATCTGTGATCTTACATGAAAAACACATACATGTTAGTTATAAACTTATTATAGCGCATGCTTTGTTTATTTTTTGAAATGGTTCTCATTTCATAGGAGGTACAACTCTTATTATTGTTCTTTATTATTGAGTGTATTTAAAGAAACTGAAATTTAAAACCAATTAGTTCTACCACCCGTACAAGAGATAATAATAGATGGATAAAAGAATTCTTTGCTTTAATATGATAGATTCATGATTATTATACAATATAGAAGGCAAATGGCCACTTCTGGTGGTACTTTTATTCAAAGAACTCGGAGAGTCAGAATATTTATATGACGACTTCATCTCATCTTCTTTTTATGCAGGGAATTTTGCTTCTTTTTTAATTAGTTACTGTTGAGATAATTTTGCTTACCCTTACCTTCATCAATTCTTCCCTGCCAAAAAAGTTTGGAATTTATTTTCTTAACATCCGCTTGCTTAAATTTCTTGCAATGTGTTCTGGCTGGCCAAATGTCCTGATTAGAAGAAAATATATATAAATAAATGGGCAGAAAAATTTAGTTTGTTGCATTTTATTTTCGATATCCCTTCATGTATAATCCTCAAATTTGACTTCATACACTCATGCAAATTAAGATATAATTTCATGCACCTAATGAAAAAAAAATTGATGACTTCATCTCATCTTCTTTATATGCATGGAATGCGCATACAAGCTACGATTGAAAATTCTCATGTTTCTAATTTCAAGAACAAAATCAAGGAGCATGGTCTTTATGGAATGATGCGTTTTGAAGTTAGGGCTAATAACGGTGATTACAGGCCTACTTCACATTCTTTCAGATTATATTTTAAGGAGAACACAAAGATCAAAGAGCATGAACTTTCATCAGAGACAAAATTCCCAAAGGATTTGTATTCACTAAAAAGTTTCACCGAGATAAAAAATAGTCATAGGAGAGCTGGAGATGACTTATTTGGTAATTAATAAGTCATAACATTCCATTTTTTGACTTTAAAGAGTATATCCTCACAGGACTAAATTTTTTCATTCGGTTTTTACAGATACAATTGGAAAGTTTAAGTTTGACAGCATAAAATATTCCTTGCAACCAGATGGATTGCCGCGAGCAGCAGAATTCATCCTCGAAGATCTGGAGTATAAACTCACATCATAACAATCTTTTAGAAGTAATTATTTAATAACAATTTGCATTTAAATGAGTTGCTGAATCTTGCATTTGTTGTATCCATATTTTATATCTACAGTAAAAAGCAGTTGTCATGTACACTATGGGGTGAGTATGCACAGGCTTTGAGGAATATTCCCAACACTTTGGCCGAACCACACATCATGCTGCTTCAGTTGTGTAGAGCAAAGACTGACTATGGTAAAACATTTATTGATTCATGTACTATATTTATTTATGCATTCTCTATATTTGATAGAGATAACACATTTAATATTATAGGTGAGGTCATTCTCGCGAACTCCTTTTACTGTACAAAGATAATAGTGGATGAGAGTATCCCTGAGATTGAGGACTTCCGTACTAAGTAAGATGCTTCTTCCCACAAATTGATTTAATATAGATTGCTAGCGCTAAATGCATTCATAAAGAAACTTTTAAATTAATATTTTATTCATACTAGATTATTGACAAAAATATGCAAATATTTAGAATTTAGAATATAAAAAATGAAAATGAGAAGTAGAAATCATTGTCATATATTAAACATTTCATTCTATATACTTTTACTAAATATTGATTATTAGTTACTTCTTGATATTTAACTATTTTCCTTTAAGGTTGGTAGCCAGCTCCCAGTCTTCGTCATCCAGAAACTCCTCCGATTTTTTATAGATCCTGCATTAGTTAAGTCAGTGGTTGAACTGCTTGCAATTTCTAAGGTTAGTCTATTTGAATTTTAATTTGACTAATTTTGTTGGATTACTCTCTACTTCATTTTATACATATCTTTATTGTCAACATAATGTAGAGGTCTCGGTGTTGGATTTTTGGGAAAATCACAAATATTCTCAATCGAAGGGCTTGGTCCTATCAAGGGTGTGTAACAGAGTCTTGCTCTAAGAAGGCCTCTTATGACGGCAACAAGTTTAAGTGCACTAAATGCAATAAAGTGTTTGACCAGGGAATACATCGATATAAGATCAATGTTATCGTCAAGGATTCTTCAGGATCGGTTACGTTGTGTCTGTGGGATCATGAGTGTCGTCAGTTGTTGCACAAAACTGCAGGACAGCTGAGAGAACAGTTGAATCTGGTATGATAAAGAGTAATAATTGTTTTAACTAATTCTCTAAAAGTATGTTAAATAAAAAATAAATTTTATGATTTGAATCTTTGATCTTTCAGATTGGCATTCATGAGACAGCGACGTCAAGAGAAATTGACGATTTAGTTGGTCTACATCTTTTGTTTAGGGTTGATATAAGCGAGGAAGATTTAAAAAAAAAGTGACAAAGTTTTCTCCGTGAGGTGTCTCACACAAAATGATGAGCTTATGAACCATTTTCTGGCAACAGCAAATGATGAACAACCAATGGTATGTGAATGAATCAACTTTATTTTAATTTATTGTTGTCCTCACCTTTTCATTTTTAATGTCTAACAATTGATTGAAATCTTATTCTCTAGGATCTGGAATCTGATGATGATTTGGAAATTTTTTTCAGTCAGCCAGGAGTAACATCATCAAACGTAAGTAATACTTAAAAATTTAATAATCATGTCCTACCGAATATGAATATTGTATATTTTTCATTTCAACATTTGTAAGCATATCATTATCTTGCCATATAAAATTGATGCTTAATGCTTTAGGATTACTTGAAAACTTGGCCAGCCCAACCAAATATATATATTTCGAACATTTCAAGATTATTTGGAACATTTCAATAAGCCTAAGTGGAATATTTGGAACAACATGTAAAGAGTATATTAGGCTTAATGCTCTAAGATTGCTTCCTAAATATGTGTATTGTATATATTTCATTTCAATATTTGTAAACATATCATTTTCTTGCCATATAAAATTGATATGTAACATCTAACATTTAAATTCACATTCTATATTAGTACTCAGCTCACACTATTTAGATTTTTTAAACTTAAAGAGAGAACAATATTTAATGTTATCATTGAACTTCAGAATATTGATGATGCCACGACTACTACCCCAATGTCTAAGCGACCTTTGTCAGATTATGAGGAAGGACAAGATGGAGGATCTTCTACTAAAAACTCCACTAGCAAATTGCAGAAAACTATCAAGGTTGAAAAACCATAAGGTTTTGGAGATGGTGTTTGAGGTGGCCAAAAAATGAAGAATTATCTTTACTCTTTAATTTCATGTCATTTTTTAGTGGACGAGTATTTACTACATACATGTTAGTTTTTTAAGAGATGATTTTCTTGCTTTACTTTGATTTACTTTGGTTTAAATTAGTTAATGTTGATCTATAGTTATTACATGTTAATCATGATTGTTCCAGAATGCTACAATAAAGGTAGTTGTGATCTTTTCATGATTATCCAGTGGTATATTACTGATTGATCTATAGTTATAACATCATGATCTATAGTTATTACATGTTAATCATAATGAACCATAATGCTAGCATAAAGGTGTCTGTGATCTTACACGAAATCCACGTGCACCAGTGATTGTATTTTTTATCTTTTCATTTTGGAAAAACCAAAATGGTTTATAAAATTGTTTGGGTATGTCTCATTGTGTTCAGGTCTTGATATATGGTAGAAAATGTAATTCTGTTATTAAACATGCATGCGTTTCAGTGATTGATCTAAAGTTATCACAATTTAATCATGATTGTTACAGAATGCTACAATAAATGTATAGTATCTGTGATCTTTTAATGACTATCCAGTGGTATATTAGTGATTACTCTATATTTATTACATGGTGATCTATATTTATTACATGTTAATCATAATTAACCAGAATGCTTGAATAAAGGTATTTGCTATTTTGGCACCACAGGCGATGAGGCGACTCTAGCCTTAAACAAATTGATGTTGATCACTATATCTCTTCGAGGTTCATGGAGTTTCTTAATGAAAACACTGTTATTATTTTTGTTGTATGTGTACCATCTTTACACCTCCTATGTATCAATGTATGTAATAGTATGTCTAGCTGGATGAACTAACAACTTGGTTTGTAGAGATTCCTTTTTGTTCTATGAGAGTATGAGGTAATTCCCATAATCCATTGATTTTTGCAATTAATGTTAATGTATACTTCTAATTTGAACATTGTTGTTTGCCTGTCTCACTCTAAGTATTAGTCACCAGGAAGCCCCGCCTCTCAATATCTTAGCAATCACTAGATGACATTATTAAAGAGTCTTTATTGATAAAATGCTCAATATATTTGGATATATCTCAAACACAATGTATTCCAGATTGTGAAATATTAACATAATCTATTTTAGACTGCCAACGATGAAATCTAACAATTAACTCAATTTTATTTGTAAACTAAATTTAAAATGCCCCAATTCCAAATAACGCTCAAAGATTTTATTGTTCAAATATCCAGGTGGTACGTGTTTTTAGTTGAACTTATTCAGTCTCAGAATTAATTCGATCAAATTAAAATCTGACAATAGTTTTATGTACATATGTCAGTTATCTATCAGACCAATCCATATTACTTGAGACCACCTTCACCTAAGTTTATCAAACCAGAAAATTTCTAACCAATTAGAAGCCTCTTGATTTGGAAAAAATTACTAAATTATTCTATTATTTAAGTACCTTCTTTAAGCAAACTGTTTATTTCAAGTCAATGATGTTAAACTTTGACCGATTATATATTTATATACAGTAAGATTTATAATATACATGATATGAAAATCTTTTTTGAATATATCTCAAGCACAATCTATTTTTAAGCTGTGACTATATTCGACTGCACATATATTAGTTATCTATCAGACCCACCCATATTACTCCATACGACCTACAATAAATTTATCAGACCAAAAAGTTTTTAACCAATTAGAAACATCCTGATTTGGATAAACTCTACTAAATTATTCTACTTCGTATTAAATAAGTACTTTCTTTAAGCAAGTTGTTTATTGAATACAAATAGTCCCTCCCCCACTTTTTATTTTAGCCAAACACTATTTTCCAATTCAATGATGTTAAACTTTGATTGATTATATATTTATACACGGTAGTATTGATAATATCAACATGACATGAAATATATTTTTTGTTAAAAAGGCTATCATAAAAAAATAAATTTATTAAGTTTCACATAATTATATACTCCATCCATCCCACTTTGTAAGATACTTTATGGTTTACGATGTTTGACCAATGATAAAGCAAACAGATATCTGTCTGCACTAAACAAAAATGATTTTTTTAACATATTCAGGAATTACATTAAGAATCCATTTGATAACTGTTTTTCTTGGCTTATCAGGCTTATCAGTCAACTTTTTTATCAAATAGGTAATTTTAATGTTGCGCACTGAGGTGTTTAATAATAAAAATAGTACTGTTGGAGTTACTTTTTCAGCTATATTGGTTGAAGTTAGTGTAGATGACTATTTTTGCTATTTTTCATATAATTTTTTCTTTATTTTATTAATTAAATATATTTTAAATATAATTTATTCATAAATGAGCTGAATCAACCAATACAGTCACTTCAATCAGAACTTCATAAAATTCAGCATAATCAGCCGATTAAGCCGATTTCAATGTTACCAAATGAACTTTAAAAGTTTTACAAAGTCACAAAAACCAGAATCAAATTTGATAAAAATTTGATTTATAAAGTAAGAGATTAGTATTGATTTGTGTTGACCAAGTAAATAAAAAACATATCTTATAAATTGGGATTGATGGAGTATTAGTTAAAATAATGGATTAAAGTTTATCATTTTTGAATGAAAATCAAAGATAACTAAATAAAAAGGGACGGGTGTAGTAATATTTTATTACATACGTAGTTTGTAATACGTACTAAAAATTAAAAGAAAAAAATTACCCATACGCAATATTATTCTTTAAAATGTAGTGGACTAATATATTACTTAGTAAATATTAGTGACTATAACTGTGTTCAAATTTATATTGTAGTAATTACATGTAAATTACTACGATGAAACTTTGAACATAATTATAGTCACTAATAGTTACTCCCTTCGTCCCTTTATAATTGTCCATTTTATCATTTTTGGATATCCCTTTATTATTGTCTCATACCATATTTGGTAACATTTGTGTGGCTCTAATTCATTCTTATTTTATTTACACTTTATCAACTAATTACCAACCACATAATTCTATTTTTCTTAAAAATCACACCACTCCCTTCGGTACCAATATTAAGGGGACGGAGGGAGTATTAAGTAATGTTTTTGTTCATCATTTTTTTATTAATGTACTAATTAAGGAAAACCCAAATTAAAATATCTAAGTAATGTCAATTTTACAAAGGCATAACAGTAGCCAAATTGATAAAGTTAATGCACCCAGTTTTTTCGCATCATACGCGCGATACTACTATTAGAATTGTATACATGATAGAAATTAGTCTTACACTCCTACTTGACCTAATCCATCAATTCTAATACGGAGTATTTGATTTTATCCTCTCAAACAATAAACTAAAATGCAATTGATTGACTCTAACAAAACTAAATATTCCCAGCCATGGAGATATCCGAAACTGGAGAATCCATTTGAACCAATGAGATAAAACGTATGAAAGCAGCACTATTGCCGCATTACAATTCTGAAGCATAATCCTTCCATTCAAAATTGTGCTTCTCCGGTAAAATGGCAAAGTCGTTTCTTATGTGAAACTGAGAAGCTGTAGCATAATTGACCTACGTGGGTTCATTGAAATCATCCTGTAGTACACACAAGTTAGCTTCCACATGCAACAAATTTAATCCTTATGTCTTATGTGAAGAGAATCATGTTTGATGGCGGATAGCATATACATGCTATTTGCTTGAAACTTCAGGTGTAAGTACATATACTCATCTCCACCACAATTCATCTTTTGTAAGTTATTGTTATTATTATTATTATTATTATTGTTGTTGTTGTTGTTGTTGTTGTTGTTGTTATTATTCTTGCTATTATTATTACTCTCAAAATTATTATTATTATGATTATTTTTATTGTTGTTATCATCATTAATTTTCGCTTCATTGTAACTCTTCTTTCATTAAATTATCTAATAAAGGTTATTAATTAATAGGTATTTTAAGGCTTGGTGATACCAAATAGGTATATTATTTCCCAAACACTCTTATACCATTCATCGATGTTACTTTGTCAAATCTTACAAGTAATTAGTGCTCACTCTTAAGAAACCAAGCAATCAACAATTTCATTTTTTCCAATTATTATCAACAATCTTTATTGAAACACACTGATATTTTGTTTCACACACTCCGTATCATTTATCAGCATGGTTTTGGTATTCTTTTAGTTGTACTTCTATGAGATCATTATGAATTTGATATAGCTCTTTACTTTATTCAACTAACATATCAGTTTTTCTTTTCCTTTACATTTCTTGCAGCTTCAAGACAGAATGCGATTTATCACTAGAATCATCAACTTTTTCAGGAGTTATGAGATAAATTTTGTACAAATCTCATCTTCATCAAATATATTTATATTGGATGTAAATTGTTGCTATATTACACAAATCTCTTTTGATTGTTTTAGTATTAACATCTTTATTTATTAAGTTCTTATTCATGTATTTATTAAGTCTTTATATGTGTGAGGATAAGTTGCAAGAATCGTAATTGTAAACTAATTTTTTATACATGTTGATTTTTTGTAGGACTACTGTATTGATACATATTAAAGTATAACCTACAAATTAGTCGATAATGCATACACTTGCATATAGTCAACAATGTGAATTTTAATTTAATTACTTGACTGGGAAAACTCAAGTGATTTTTAAATAATTTTATAATTCCTAATCTGGTGCAACGCACGGGTAAAAGACTAGTATTCATTATTCTAGTAGTGAAGGGACGTGACAAGCAGCCACACAAAGGCAATTTCAATTTAGCGGAGGATTCATGGGTCATGTTGCGAATGTGTATTCTGCCTGCAAGCACTACTAGAAAACTGCCTTACAGTGACACTTCGTTAGTGACACTATTCGATTTAGTGTCAGAAATTGACGACATAACTAAAAATTTACACATAAGTATCACTAATTTCTGACAGAATAACTTCTCCATTTAATAGTGACACTCAAGGTGAAAAACGGGGTCATATTGATAATCTATGAAAATATTTTTTTTGAAGAAGGGTTTATTTTATAAATTGTAACCCTACTAACCCTTCACACTTCCCAGGAGCGCAGCTCACTCATACTTCGCAGGAGCGCAACTCACTCTCAAGAATCTTAGATCAAGAAGCTCTTCCTTCTCTCTTATTCGTTCGCATCGTTCTAAATCCCGACGAGACTCCATACTTCGTCCGCTACTTCGCGTCGGCACTTCAGTCCCTGACCTTGTCGGCTGCCTCCCTACATCATGAAGTCCGAACTCCTGCCGATGTCCGAACTCACGAAGTCCCTGACCCTGCTGGCTGCATTTACCTAGTTTGGGTAACTTTGGTCATTATTTGCTTTAATTAATTATTTAAATTAAATTGAATTGATTGATTGCTTTAGGGATTAAATTCTTTGGCAAGTTTATTGATTAATTATTTTAATTAATTGTTTTAAAGTGTATTTGGTTAAATGCTTGAATTGGTATAAAGTTGAAAGCATGTCAGTTAATGTGTAAATGTTTTAGATAGAAAAAAGCTATATTCCATATTTTTTAGTCACTTAGCATACTATTTTTCAATTTTCTCTTTGTGCTGCTTCTAATCTGAACTCAGTATGATATTATGCCTCAGCTTGAAATTCCTTTGTGAGTTTTCTCCATTGTCTTTTGTAAATATAATTTAATTTTATGTGGTTGATCTCACATAGGTTTGATCTCACATATAGCTTGATTTTGTTTAGGTAAATTGAATGATTTAGAATAGAAAAAAACATTGGTAAGCTTACCAATCCATCTTCACAATCTAAGGGCACTTCTCTCTATTGGTAAGCTCTTAGGGAAACCAATTACAATTGACTCCCCAACGGCAAATTTTTCTAGGCCATCAACTGCTAGATTATAAATTGAAGTGGATACTTCACAGGATCTTCCCCAAAATATCTGGATTGGGAATGGTGAGAATGGCTATTTTCATAATGTTCTTTACGAAAATTTGCTATAGGTTTGGTCACTTACTTACTCAATGCACAACTGCCCTCAAATCCCCCGCTAATAATATTCAGATTAATAAAGCTATCTGTGATGATTTTCAATCCCCAAATCCTGTTAATAATGTGCTTTTGACTAGGAGTTCTGAAGTTCAGGCCTCTCTAGAAACTGTTTATACAGAATGTGGTGTTGCAGCCCCGGTTGGTTGTGATGTGGTTGCCCCAATCTGCTGCGATATTAACTTTGCTGCTGCAGCCGCAAGTGCAACCCATATTGAAGCCTATAAGGCTTGTGAATCTATCCCTTTGAATAGCTTTTCTGCTGCTGTAACAGCAGAAGCAGCTGCAGCCCACAATGGTGTTTCTAATGCTTGTGAATCTGTTCCTTTTGATGCCCTTACCGATGCTGCAACTGCAACCACTACTGCAGCCCATATTGATGCCTCTAATGCTTGTGAATTTGTCCCTTTGAATAGCATTTTTGTTGCTGTAACAGCAGAAGCAGTTGCAGCCCATAATGATGTTTCTAATGCTTGTGAATCTGTTCCTTTTGATGCCCTTACTGATGTTGCAACTGCAGCCCATATTGATGCCTCTAATGCTTGTGAATTTGTCACTTTGAATAGCTTTTATGTTGCTGCAACTACAGCTCCAATTGCAGCCCATATTGATGTTTCTAATGCTTGTGAATATGTCTGGTTGCCTTTGAACGTGAAGAACCCTCGGTGGCCACCTGTAACAAGGCGGTAACCGAGGAAATTGGCCATCTTTTGGTTAACACTGAGTCCGACCCAAGCTGAAAATGATGAGCTTCTCTCTGATCCACCAACTACAAATACTACACTTGCTACTAAATGTCCGGTGATGAAATCATTTCTGAGGATTCAAACACAAACAAAAACTCTTTTTCTCATTATGTTTCTGGTCATAATCCTCCTATTAATGTGGACCACCTAGAAGGATTCACACAGGTTAAAAGTAGAAGAAACAATAGCATGGGCTCGCCAGTTGATTTTGGGCTTCTGTGGACTTATTAGCTTTGCTTGGAGGATTCATGGCTAAGTGATTGAGATTAAGGATGTTTTCTTTTGGATTGTTTTCAATCCCAGACCAGACCAGATCAGACAAGATCAGATCATATCAGACCAGAGCAGACCAGACATCCGTAGTTATAAAATACATTGAGACCAGACGTTTACTAGACCAGACTAGACCAACAAGTTTCAGTCCAAATGAAATCATCCTAACTTACAAGTTTACAAGTGCCAATTGTAATAATAATTACTGGTCAAAAATCAAGCAATTCACTGAGAAACGTTAGATTTTTAAAGTTCAAGAATTAAATACAGGGTATAGAAGAGATGTAAATTGCGCGATTTTTTTTCTTTGTATCGGATTAAAAATAAGAATAAGGATTACCAAGACATAGGAATTCACCTATACATTTACTAAAGATTAATACTAGTTCTTTGCCAATAATTATGAGTACGATGTTGCTAATATAATCTCGATTTTGGTTGAGGCAGTGATAGCATAGTTTTCGTTACGCGTGAGTACGTTACGGTTCACATTCATCTAGAGAACACCCCATTGAAAATCGATCAAGACATCACACACGTACCATAGAAGATCATATATATTTATATTATCGAGACTTGTATGTAACATTTATCCTTTAGTGTTCAGAGTTTAGACTTCACCGTTAATTGCATGTTTAAACTAAATTTAACATACTTGTTTGTTGTACACCATAGTCATAAACAATCAAAATGTAATGATAAATTACAATTTACTGGTTTCGTCATAAAACACCTAGTGAGCATATGGTTCATAAAACACCTAGTTTAGAAATGAGTCTCAATGCTCATACTAATCACAATACAACAATTAAATATAATTAAATGTGAAATTAAAAAGAAAAGAATACCTAAACATCAATGGTTAAGAAGGATTATCTTGCTTTTGCAAGAACACCAAAATCTCAAGAATAAACTAGGAATTGATACAAGCATTGGATGATGAATTAGTGATGGATTGGGTGCTTTAAATACTACCGAATGATATCTTTTAGTCTATTCAAAATCTAAATCAGTATGGGCAAAAATCTCGGGCCATACATTTTCAAAGTTTCATTTTTCATCAATAATATTTGAGCATGTTGCCTGGTTTTCGGATTTTCATAGTTCTGGCGCCAGTTATGGGCAAGTCTAAAGCCAATTATATATAGTCCTATCATACTTTCACAAGTCTGGGGCCAATTTCTTCTAGAGATTTCGGTTCTATCTTCTAAGCATCTATCTCCAGCGCCAATTACGGTTCTATTCCGGCTATAGATGTTCTTAAGAGACCGTTTAGTAACTCTTATTTTGAGCTTATCAGTCTCATCAACCAACGTTTTTACCAAATACATAGGTTCTTATTTCGTGCACTAAATTGTGTAATATTCAAAATATAAGATTAGAGTTACTTTTCAAGCTCAATTGGATGAAGTTACTGTAGAAGATAATTTTATTAATCTTTCATGTAATTTTTTCTCATTTTTATTCATTAAATATATTTTAAATATTATTTTTCATAATTCAACGTATCCAGCCACTTAAGCCAAAAATTCATAAATTTTAGCAGATTCGATCCATTCATCCATTTCAATGTTACCAAAATGTTCAAGCGAGTACTAAACCGCAACTGCAATGTTTTCCTGTGCTTTGTGAATTCAATTGTTGACTTTGGAAGTGCGGGTTTTTTTTTTACTTCTTTTAACTTTTTACCCCATTTTCTTAACTATGGATCGTCTTTCATATTCATTGCCCAGTTTTTTTTATCTGCTTTCTTTTTCCATTCCTGTATAGATTACTAAAATCATCTATGTAAAATATAAGTAATTTATGATGCTTCTCACTCAGCCTCTCCCTCAGTTGGGGGCGGAGCTAGATGGGGGCAACATATGCCCCGACTCATCCTAAATTTTAAAAATGTTTAAATTTTTAAGTTTAAAATCAATGTGTTTTTTTTTTCTAAAAATATTTTTTGTGTCAGTCTAGTCGCGGTCTAGTGTTCTGACTCCACCTCTGCCCTACTCCTACCCTGAGCATCGAGATAATATGATTGTTACATAGATGAGGTAATGTTAAATACTTTTTGTCGACACAAAAAATGCTTTTTGTTGTAGTGTTTTAATTTTTCTGACAACAGATAAAAGTGGTAAAGCAACCGTAGACAAAAACATGCTCTATAATCTGGTGAGCTTGTTTTTCTTTCCATTTTTTCTCTTCTCATCTCCTAAATATAATGTTTGGTTATTGTTGCAGATATTGCATCTGAACTCAGATCAAGGTGGCAGGGAAACAATATTGCATTCTTTTTGTTAGATATTGCATCTGAACTCAGGCCAATATGTTATTTAGTTTTTCTCTTACACTCTATCTCTCTCATGCATTGTACCTTTTTTACTAATTTCTCTATTATCACAGGTGATAAGTGATCTTTTTTAATACTTCTCTAATTATGCATTTTGTTATTGTTTAGTCTCTATATATGGTGTAGTGAAACGACAAGTTGATGTGAATGGGAAAAGGGAGCACGTGTTGTTGATTACTTCCATAAGAATGCCGTTATCGGGACTTGACACTTAAAGATTGTTTTATGTCCTATAGACCGTGCTTTATCTCAATTCTAGCTATAATTGTAACTTGTGTTTTGTTTTTTGAGTTGTACTTACTTATATTTATGATTTCCGGGGTATGCCCCTATGAGTCATGTACATTCATATGATATCTTGAGATATAAATAAAAATGTTTGAGATTGTGGTTAATGTTAATGTTTTGGTTTATTTCTATTAATATATATACTAAAATAAAATATGTATATATAAAAGAATATATTATCATGTATCATGTTTTTTGAATGGAAAACAGAATATTTTGATACCGCAGTGTCACTAGAATATGTGATGTAAAAGTGTCGCCGAATAGTTATATTGCCAAGGTATCACTATTTAGTGATACTTCATTGTCACTAAAGTATATGATGTAAAAGTGTCGCTGAATAGCTATGTCGCTAATGTATCACCATATTGTGATATCGTAGTGTCACAATTCTGTGACACTTGTAGTGACACTTAAAAAGTGTCACTTGTAGTGTCACTAACCCCCACTTTCAGCGACACTTTTTTAGTGTCACAGAAACTTTCAGTGACCCTAATTTGGTGTCACTGTAAGACATTTTTCTAGTAGTGTCAATTGGATGAAGTTACTATAGAAGATAATTTTATTTATCTTTCATGTAATTTTTTCTTAATTTTATTTCATTAAATATATTTTAAATATAATTTTTCATAATTCAACATATCTAGCCACTTAAGCCAAAAATTCATAAATTTTAGCAGATTCGATCCATTCATCCATTTCAATGTTACCAAAATGTTCAAGCGGGTACTAAACCGCAACTGCAATGTTTTCCTGTGCTTTGTGAATTCAATTGTTGACTTTGGAAGTGCGGGTTTTTTTTTTACTTCTTTTAAATTTTTACCCCATTTTCTTAACTATGGATCGTCTTTCATATTCCTTGCCCAGTTTTTTTTATCTGCTTTATTTTTCCATTCCTGTATAGATTACTAAAATTATTTATGTAAAATATAAGTAATTTATGATGCTTCTCACTCAGCTTCTCCCTCAGTTGGGGGGCGGAGCTAGATGGGGGCAACATATGCTCTGACTCATCCTAAATTTAAAAAATGTTTAAATTTTTTAAGTTTAAAATCAGTGTGTTTTTTTTCTAAAAATATTTTTGTGTCGATCTAGTCGCGGTCTAGTGTTCTGACTCCACCTCTGCCCTACTCTTGCCGTGAGCATCGAGATAATTTGATTTTTATCCTTTACCCAGGGGCGGGGGCCCTAGTGGAAGACAGTAGGGGCAATGGCCCTACGGCCAAAAAAATGAACAAAAAAATAGGCCCAATATTTTTGTTTTGTACCAACGGTGAGTAGGGTGAATTTTTGGGTCTTTCTAGTATTTTCATCTAGCTAGTAAGGCCCGGTAAGAAGAATAGTAAACAAATCATAAAAATCGGGAGGTTCCCTTCACTTCTCCTTGTACAAATCTGCAATTCTTTTTTGGATAAAATGTAAATATATATAGAAATCATCCAAAAGAGTTTAATTGATCACCTCCAAAAGATCATAAGCTATCTAGGCACTCCACTCTTTTTTTTATCCCGGAAGGCAAACCACCAAAATCAGTGGGACCAATGCCGGAGAACATTTGCCGAGTTTTATTAGATAAGGAGAAAGAGATACAGATGAAAATCTAGGCACTCCACTCTACGTGAAAGCCAATCACGAAGCAAAAATTAAGGTGATAGGCATAAAGTTTATGAAAACACCACTAGATCATGTGGGTAGATACTATACAGAACTTTATACACAATATACTTGATTCTAGCAAAAACATAATCTTTTTTGGGAGAGAGGCCATCAAATCTGACAGCATTATGAATCCTCCATATCCAATAGACAGAATATATAACACAGTTCAATCCGTGTGGCCTTTGCTTGACACCGGCTCCACTTCTCTCCTTCTTTATCCATTTCACCGAGCTAGCCAAAGTCCCCATCAGCCTCGACAGTTGCATCCTAGCTCTGACCATAATCCAAATTTTTCC